CTGCGGGGGGGAGAGAAAGAGGGGGGGTTAGTATCTTTGTTTATGGGGGGTTGATGGTGATGATGGTGGTGGTGGTGGTGGTAGTGATGGTGGTGGTGGTGGTGATGATAGGGTGGTGGTGGTGGTGATGGTGGTGATGGTGATGGTGGTGGTGATGGTGGTGATGGTGGTGGTGGTGGTGATGATGAATATAATGATAACGATAATGGTTATAATGATAATAAAGATAACAATAATGGAAGTATTAGTAATATGATATAATATACTACATACATATATATACATACAATAACTATAATATACTACATATATATACAAAAACGTGTGTGTGTGTATGTGTATGTGTGTGTGAATATATATATATATATATATATATATATATATATATATATATATATATATATATATATATATATATATATATATAATATGCGTGCCTGAGTAACTACGGGCCCGCTTACCCCTCTCTCCACATGCACGTTTACCAAGCAAACCAATCGGGGGAAAATTGATCAGGAAACGAACAACCAACTTTCACCATCGCCAACAACATCCCCTCCCCCCCCCTCCCTTCCCCCCTTCCCCCCTTCCCCCCTTCCCCTCCTTCCCCCCTCCCTCCCCATCAACCCATCAACAAACCCTCCCCCCCTCCTCCCACCCCTCCCGTGCCCCCCCCCCTCTTCCCCCATCCTGTTAACCCCCCCCCCCCCCACGACCCACGCTCATGGGGGAAGAGGAAACAAATTTGCATAGAAATCTCACGTTGAGGAGGCAAGTGAAGTCTTCGCGGGAGGAGGAAGGAGGAGGAAGAGGAAGAGGAGGATAAAGGAGGAGGAGGAGGATAAGGAAGGAGGAGGAAGAGGAAGAGGAGGATAAAGGAGGAGGAGGAGGATAAGGAAGGAGGAGAAACGAGGATGAAGAGGAAGAGGTGGAGAAAGAGGAATAGGAGGAGAAGGAGGAAGAGGAGGAGAGGGATAAGAAAGAAGAGGGAGGAGGAGGAGAAGGACGAGAAAGAGGAAAACAAGGACGGAAGGACAGGAAGGAAGAGAGAGAAAGGATAACGAGGAAGACGGGAAGGAGGAGGAGGAGGAGGAGGAGAAGGAAGAGGAGGAGGAGGAGGAGGGGGAGGAGAAGGAGGAGGAGGAGGAGGAGGAGGAGGAGAAGGAAGAGGAGAAGGAGGAGAAGGAGGAGGAGGAGGTAGGTAGGTAGGTAAGGTGGGAGGAGGGAGGAAGGAAAAAGGAAAGGAGAATTGGAAGGAGAGGAGGAGAAAGAGAAAGGAAGAAGGAAGAGGCAAGAGAAGAGGGAAAGGAGGACGGGCAAAAACGACAGTAGAGGAGCAGGAGGGAAGGAAAGGAGAGAAGAGGGAGATGAAAGGAGGACGGGAGAAAAGGGAGGAAGGAGGTTAGAAAGGAAAAGGAAACGAAGCGAAGGAAGGAACCATGAGAACGGAGAAGAGAGAACGAAGGAGAGGGGAGAGATAGGACGAAGGAGAGGAAAGGAGGCATGACGGGAGGGTAAGAAAGAGGAAACAGGAAGGAGAGTGGAGAGGAAGAGGACGAAGAAAAAGGACGGGGGGGGGGGAGGAGAGGCGCGACCCTGTGACGCCTTTACCGGATCGTCGCAGAATGGGAGGCGAGGCAAGGCAACGCTCGCTCTGCTTGCCTTGGCTTATCTTGGCTTGTCTTGGCTTGCTTTGGTTCGCCTTGGTTTGCTTTGACTCGCCTTGGCTTGCCTTGGTTTGCCTTGGCTTGCTTTGGCTCGCCTTGGCTCGCCTTGGCTTGCTTTGGTTCGCCTTGGTTTGCCTTGGCTTGCTTTTGCTCGCCTTGGCTTGCCTTGGCTTGCCTTGGCTCGCCTTGGCTTGCTTTGGTTCGCCTTGGTTTGCCTTGGCTTGCCTTGGCTTGCCCTGGCTCGCCTTGGCTTGCTTTGGCTTGCCTTGGCTTGCCTTGGCTTGCCGTGACTTGACTTAGCTTGAGTTGACTTGCGTTTCTACCATTTTTATATATATGAAAAGGGGGAAGGGAGAAGGAGAGAGGATGGGAGGAGGCGAAGAGGAAGAGAAGGGAGAAAGGGGGAGGGGGCGAAGAGGGAGAATATAGGGGAGGGGGAGAAGGGAGAGAGGAAGGAGGAAGAGGAAAGATGGGGCGGAAGGGAAAGGGGCGGATGAAATAGAGAGGGATGTCGAGGAGGACAAAGAAGAGGAAAAATGGAGAGTCTAATGGGGCACACGTCCACCCCCCCTAACTCACCCCAACCCACCTTAACAAACCCCAACCCACCCACCCAACCCACCCAAACCCACCCAACCCACCTTAACAAACCCCAACCCACCCAACCCACCCACAACCCACCCACAACCCACCCAACCCACCTTAACAAACCCCAACCCACCCACAACCCACCTCAACCCACCCAAACCCACCCACAACCCACCCAAACCCACCCACAACCCACCCACAACCCACCCAAACCCACCCACAACCCACCCACAACCCACCCAACC